AACAGAAGTCCTGTAGGTTTTTATCTTGTGTTCACTGGACTGTTATTAAAAGCCAGAAGAAAAAAATCGGAAGGCTTACTAGTGTTTTTGCCCTGCTGATATTTTTGTATTGTATTTTAAAATCAAGTTGACTTCATTAATTTGACACTTTTTTAAAAAATCTTTTATAGTGTGCCGGTCAAATAAAAGCCCCTGGGTCTGTCTGACGTGTTCGAGTGTCCATTGTGGAAGGTGGGTACACTGTTAGTGTGCAAATCTTTTAATCAGACCTTTATCTTTCTCCTTTGTTGCTTGACTCTGAGGCAGTTCATTCAAAAATTCCCTGAAATAAACCTTTCATTATCTCATTTAACATTGTATGTTTATGCTTAATGTGGTTCTTCGCTACTTCATGAGAGTCCAGAGATTGCATTCAAGATATGGGGGGTTTTATTTCACTGGTTTTTAAGGTAAAGTAAAATTTAAAGTAAAGTAAAATGTCTAAGTAAATTAAAGTAAATGTGATTGCTCAGTTCAAAAAGTGTGTGGAGAACTGATAATTTAGTAGGTTATTGTAAAGTTCTATTCTGGGGAAGATGTTTCTTTTGTCATAAAATAAACACAATAAGAATTGTTGCAAAGCCACAAGTTGGTACAGCTTATTTTGAGAGAAACAGCAACTATTCAGCTGGGACTGAAAATAGCTTAAATGTACTGTGTATAGTTTAGGACCTAAAATTATTGTCATTGCATGTAAGAAGTAGCTGCCATCAGAATTCCTTCAGGCTTCACCTTGATGTTCGTATTAGTTGAAGTACACCAGATAAATTGTAGAGGAATTATACAGTCAATGCTGTTATTTATATGTCAGGATAATTGTAGAAAATGTGCTGCTACATAAATGTTTGAGATGTGCACATTAGTGGAATGCAGCTAGTGTTGACACTTAGTATCTGAGATGTGAACATGTTTTCATCTGTTGGGTAACATCTGTGCTGGTATGCTGTTATTCTGGGAAAGCACCATTAAACTTAGTGACTTTGTCTTTTAATGTGGATTAAATGAGCTTCAGATTTTCTTTGTTTGATCTGGGTAACACTAAGTGCCATAGTTTTAATAATGTGTCTTATTCAGAGTTTTGCCTTTTTTCCCACTATTTATTTATTTAATAAATTTATACTTGGTGAGAGCCAAGAGAGGAGGAGATACTTCATGGCATGCAATAAATAATTGGAATATTTTAATTGTTAAAGATTATTTCTGTCCACAAATGGCCTTTCTTATGTGCAGTTGGTAAACATTGAGTCAGTTATTTATGCAGTTTGTTTTGTCTTTCCAAACTGTTCCCATCCTTAGAATGGAAAATAATTGAATGAGAAGATAAAATTTACCTAGGGCTCTTGCATTTATAATTACTTTTTTTTTTAATTAAAGGTGCTTAATTTCCTATATCTCAAACTTTGAGCATGAAAATGCTTATTGTGTCAGCAAAGGAACTGCAGGATTTTAGATTTCTTATTCCCTTATGTAACCACAAGCTCCAGAGCCCTTCAAGTTCATGAACTCGATGACTGTAACATTAAATCATGCTGCAGAATGGGAAAGCTGAAAATGGGGGTCAGCACTCTGTTAAAGGGATCCCAAACACAGGTGCTGGGGAAAAAGGGTAGAGCTGCAAGAAGAGAAAAAGCAGTACAGGTATGGGAACAGGGAGTTAAGGATTTTCTCAGTTGTGGAAGTGCGTTAGTCTGTTGAGAGCACAGATCCTGGGATTTGGAACACAGGAGAGAGTAAAAGGGGAAAACATTGGAAAATTCAGCCAGTGGTTTCACACAAGTGAATTGTCTTTTTTAATGCCGATGTAAATAATGGATGACTTTTCTTCCCTATTTTTTAATGAATTTTTTAATTAATTAGATGTTTAGAAGTATAAACTTCTTTCTTTTACATTTATTTTAGATATGTGAATGGCCATGCAAAAAAGCATTATGAAGATGCACAGATTCCTATGACCAATCATAAGAAAACAGAAAAACAGGAGAAAGTTCAGCATACTGTTTGTATGGATTGCAGTAGTTACAGTACATACTGGTAAGGATTTAAACACCATAATTTCACAACTTTTTATATACTAGAAGGTGAAAAACATCAGACTCTTGTGCAGCATTATATTACACACATTTTTCATCATTTCATCTTTTGATTTCCAGACCTGTTTTTGGAACACTGCTTTTTCCTGTGTATTGTAGCACTGGCTGTAACTCACACATGTCAAATGTTTTAAACTGAAGTGTAACTCACACATGTCAAATGTTTTAAACTGAAGAAACTTCTTAAAATAAGTGCTATGGGGTTTGGAGTTGCTTCTGTTTGCTTTGGGGTGTCTGGAGACCCAAACCTCTTAATTGCAAAAGCTGTTTGGTTGTCCTTACTCTTTGCAATGAGCTGGTGAGCCTTTCACATATCCTTTGTCAGGATTCAGAAAGTAAACTATTACACTGTTCCTGCCCACGAGATTGGAATTAGAATTGTGTCTGTGTGTGTACCTTCTGTGAGTCTGGGAAAGTGATGGATTCTATTGGGAAGCAGCATCATGTCTCTGGCAAGAGTAAGGAAAAGAATGAGAAATGTTTCTTTAAGCAGCACAATGGCCTGGGCTGATTCCTTCAGTGGGGTTCTTGCAGTGTGATAAGCACTGTTCAGGGGAACTTAATATCGATGCTGCTAATGTTGGATACCCCACTGTCCTTGTTCCCCACAGGGCAAAGAGTGAGGAGTCAGTGGCAAGCACTGCTTTTTGCCTCAAAAAAGCATCTTCTTCCCCCTTAAGCAAACCTGTTGACAGGTGCTTCCCCATTTGCAGCTGCTCCATGGTTTCCCATGTGTGTTGTTACTTGTGCGGTGTGGCAGTGCAGAATTTGAGGAGTGGAGATCTCTGAGAAATCCCTGCTATGGTCTTGTAAAATTACTGGATATATGACTTCTCTAATGGGCATTTTGTTCAAATA